ATCACTAGAAGCACAAAGGCTGAAGTCTTGAGGCAGAAAAGTGCCAGGTGGTGGGTAGACCACCAATCTTGGAGTGATAATTAATTTAATTTTGAATTTACAGCAAACAATAATTAAAATTAAATGCAGAAACGCATCAATAATCAATAATAGCTATTGATAACCCACCTCATCAGTTCATGATCTGCTGGATAGGATCGGTTTTATGATAAACTAGTTTTTGTCCCGTGCATTTGCACGGAAAACTATATGATACATGAAAAAATAATAAAAATTATAAACAATAGTAAAAATCATAACAAATTAATTGAAATAAATTCAGAAAAATAATATAAATATTCTTAAACACTTCTTTATAAAACAACGTCGTGTTTTTCTATCGTCAAAATTTCCCTCAGCTCAAATCAAAATCTTCAAACCCCACTGACTCGTAACTCTAAAAAGCGTCACGTATAATTGCTCATGACTAAATGCAGAGCTCTTCAGTAGTAAGCCGACGTGCGACAGACTGTCTTTGACTCTTATTGATCATGTCATAGCATAGGAAACACTTCTTTATATTATTTGTCCTTGACTCTTATTGATTGATAGAGATTGTCCTTGCTTCTTAATAAAAAAATACCATCTAAATATAAATGAGTAAATATAATATTAATTTTTAATATAAAAAAAAAATTAAAGTAATTGATAATGAGTATAGAATTACCCTTGCGGATTCAAGTTATTTCAACGATGTTCTTTTTATATATCTAAGATTTAATTTTTTTTTTCTGATTTATATGAATATAAGCACATTTGACTAATTTTTATAAAATTTATTGAAAAAAGTTACTATTTTTTTGAAAAACTAATAAGATATTAAGATAATATTGTACTTAACATAAATGTGGGATTAATTAAAATAAATCTTTTTAATTTAGTCATTAACTAATTAAATTTAACTATAAAAACCTTCTTAAATGTGAGATTAATGAGTAATTAATTAAAAAAAATGTAACTCCTTTTGGAGGGAAAGTAAAAATATTTTTATTAAATGTTTTATTAAATGGGATTAGCTAGCAATTATATATACTAGTATTCGACCTGTGCATTTGCACAGATATAAATAAATTATTGTGAGTCTGTATGCATATAATGATTAATTATTTTTCTTTCATTTTTTTGCAGACCAAATTTACAATTAAAAGAGTTGTAATATTTTTTTTTTTAAATTGCGTTTATCTGATTGGATGTAATTATATTTTGGTACGTCTTTTATTTGTGAATTATTTATTATTTATTTAGGAATTTCAAATATATTTTTTATTTAAAAAAAAATTAAATGTAACAACAGTAATAACATCTAATCACATTATACGGTCAACACATTATATGGTCAACTGTCATTAATCAAAAGTTTAAAATGATTTTTGTAATTTTGAAGTGATGAGTATTAATTATTTAATGATTAAATGAAAGATTAAATACATCAAAATGTAACGGTTTTTGGAGGGAAAATTGTTAAATTGCCACATAGGTAAAATTATATAGGTTTTATTAAATGTTATTAGCTAGTAATTATATATATATAGATAATTAAATATATTATTTATTTTATTAATTGTTAGATTAAGTTAGATTCACATATATATATTTTTTTTAATTTAATTTTCTCTAGTGGTGGGCTTCTAATGTCAACACAAAGGTGTAAGCAAAATATTGTTTTAAGGCTTTAAGCTTCATTCACATTCATACCATTTCATGGAAGGTTCATTCAGCAGAAAGGTATTTTGCGTTTATGAATTAGTAATCAATTATCTTCTCTTTTTTGTGATTCAATTCAGATCTTTTTTACAACCATCAGACAAAAAGATTGTTTTCTGGCATATTTGGACTTCTCTGTGTTGAAGCTGAGGTTCTCTCTCTCTCTCTCTCTCTCTCTCTCTTGTTGGGTTCCTTTATCTTAGCTTGCAGTTTAGAGATTTGGTTAATAATTTTTTATTTTTTTTACTGTGATCCCTAAATTGCAAACCCATGTCCCAAAACAATAAAATGAAAAAAACAAAATCAACTTTTGTTTTTATTATTTATTGTTGTTTAGAATGGTTGGCATGATGAGTTCCATTTTGGTGTATGTTTTGCAGAGGAATTGATTAAACTAGGTAACAAATTGTTGAACTTTTAAGCATGGGAAGTGTTGTTGGTAAGGATGGGCCTCAGACTAGTTTGGAGCCTAAGTCGAAGCTCGACGCCAAAATAATCGAGGCCTTGCGAAGGCGAGAAGTAAAAGGGAGTTCCATAAAATCCTTCAACACCATTATCCTAAAGTTCCCTAAGATTGATGAGAGCTTTAGGAAATGCAAAACCACATTCGAAGAGTTTGGTGAGTGTTTTATTCTTGAGATGAATACCTATTTTATGGTTTTTCGTAGAAAAGAAAAAAGTTATGCTTTTAGAGAAGGTCGATTTATTGCAGTAGAAGTAGTTTATAGAGGTAGTTTACTAAGGAATTGAAGTGATTCTAGTAAAGATATTGTGGTCTTCTAATGCAATAGTATTTCTTTGTTGAAATCTGGCTAGAATTAGACTCATAAATGTCAAGGAAGCTATTTTCTTGTATCAGAAGTGGAAATCGGCATTTCAAGGCTATGTTTGGTAACCAAATAAACTATATTATAGCTTATTTGGTTAGCTATTAAGCTTCCTATATTCTATATTCAAATAAGTTTCGTTTAGTAGGACGAGCTTTTTTAAAAAACTCGAGATTATTCCACAAGCTTCTTTGAGTAGCTTATTTGGTTAGCTATTAAGCTTACTATATTCAAATAAGTTTCGTTTAGTAGGACGAGCTTTTTTAAAAAACTCGAGCTTATTCCACAAGCTTCTTTTAGTAGCTTATCTGTTAGTTTTACCGAGCATAGCTGAAGACATGCAAATGTTACTTTTTTCTAGCAAACAGTCAGTCATTAGGAGCTATTTTATGTTGTTTTGTAATAGACGAGGATGGAAATGGTGCAATAGATCCTGAAGAGCTAAAACGTTGCTTTCGGAAGCTTGAGTTTAATTTCAGTGATGAGGAAATAAAAGAGCTGTTTGAGGCGTGCGACATAAATGAAGACATGAGAATGAAATTCAATGAGTTTATCGTTCTCCTTTGCCTCGTCTACCTTCTGAAAGAAGATCAACCCAGTCAGCAAGCTGTAAGTTTATTTATTTATTTTTTTTTAATGTTGATATTTAACATGCGCGTTTACATTTCAATAAGCTTTTTTTATTGAAATCCTCAGATAGGAATGCCAAGTCTTGGGGCGACTTTTGAAACGATAGTGGACACGTTTGTTTTCTTGGATAAAAACCGGGATGGATGTGTTAGCAGAGATGAGATGATTGATGCCATTAACGAGACTAACTCGGGAGAAAGATCTTCCGGGAGAATAGCTATGAAAAGATTCGGTCTCTCTCTCTCTCTCTCTCTCTCTCAAATTACTTGGTATCATTTGAGAAATTTTGACGGTTATTAGGTTGCATTTGGTTGCAGAGGAGATGGATTGGGACAAGAATGGGATGGTTAACTTGAAGGAGTTTTTGTTTGCTTTCACGCATTGGGTTGGGATTGAAGATGCTGATGACAATGAAGCTGAGCATGCGTCATAAGAACAAAAGCTTCGAACCCGAAAAATCATGTTTTATTTGATGTTTTGCAAATTTGGGTTTTCATAAATAATTTGGCACCAGTGATATATAACTCTTTGATTTGCTGCTGCCCAGCTTTTCTTCTTATTGCTTTTCTTCTTATTTCTTGTATCTTCCTTTTCATATTTTTTTACCTTTTGATTTCCTTTCATGAGAAGGCTCCTGGGAGTATAGAGTATATGTAATGTACAACAGCAACTCATTAAGATAAATGCAGCAAATATAATTAATCTAACACATCCAAGCCTAAAAAAAGACAGATAATAAATTAATAATAATACACAATGAAAAGGAAAAACATCATCTCCTCACATCCCCTTTTGTTTCTTGAAATTTCAACTTTAAAAGACACCAAGGTGAGAAACATTTCCAGTTTTTTTTTTCTTTTCAGGCACAAATTACACTTTTTTCCATCACCAAAAACTCTTGAAGCACACTGCATAATAAAAAAATAAAAAATAATAATAATAATAAGACTACGCCTAACGCGAGACACCCCCGAAAAACCCTTCATCCACACAACCCGAACGAGCAACAAAACAAGGTTATATATAATAGTCAAACTGGCGCTCGGAAGGCAGCAAATACCTCACCAGTGCCATTAGACCCCTGAGGCAAGACTGAAACTGCCCTTTTTTTCACTTGGAATATTGTCGAGCTCACAAATATAGTAAGCCATGGATTTTAAGATCATAAATCACCCGCCAATTTTGGCCCTTTTCATTCCGAGGCTGCTGTTGAATGGAGATACTGAACCATTGAGCAGGGCAAGTTCACGTAACTGCTGCTGCTTGTAGTAATCTTGAGATTCATCCTGCAACACGATAAATAAATAATGGACCGAGTAAATTTTTGGTAAAAGAACGTATTTTAGAGACACATGGTGAATAAAATTAGCAAAGTTTGATTGATTGGTAAAATGAAAGCTATACCATTGGTTTAAGCAAATCTTCGATTATCTCACGAGCTTGCCCAACACGAGCATCAATTATCTCGACTGGCATTTCTGCCTCGATAAGTACGTGAAGGGGCTCGCTAAGGTGTTCATATCCTGGTTTCCCTCTTACTGCAGCTTCCTTCTCAGATCATAAAAACACATATAAAATCTATAAGTTAACACGCACACACACAAACAGAAGTAAAGAAAACAATAGGCCTTTTCCTTCTTTCTTGCGTTGGAGGTGAGTGAGTGTATTCGCAACAGGTTCATAATTTTAAAATGATCAATCTTCGGCACCAAGTGTGCACAATTTGATCCTATCGAAAAATAGCAACTTGATAAAGGTATTTTTCAAAAAGGATCACTTAAAAACTGAAAAATAAATATAAATATAAATACAATAGCAACTTGAAAATTGTACCTGCTTCGACAGGCAACTGACAATTTTTTTTTTAAAAAAAAAGATACTTTGTACAACAGAAGCTATTTCATTTTATAGAATCAGTACTTTAATCATATATCAAAGTTTACCATTTCTGGATCTTTGACACTGCCACGTCCTCTGATTAGAACACGGCACCCAGTAGCAGCTTCAACTCGTTTTAGAGAATTTCCTCTAGGTCCAAGGAGGCGCCCGACAAAATTGTACTGCAAAAACCATACATAATAATTAACTGACTTTAAAACAAAAATAAAAAAAAAATAAAAAAAACTTGTGACAAAAACATGCATCATGAATACACCAGAATGTAAACACAGTTATTACATTAGGGTATTGTTCGACTGGAACGTCGATTCTGACCAGTCGCTTGACTATAAGACCTGACGGGCTACCATGGGAGCCAAGCCAATTATTTGTGGAAGAGGGCTGCATCAAACTCGTCACCTGCATGTTGTAAATTCAGATATTGTGAAAAGGGAACATTATAAGCATGCTTTAATGAGAAAATTATTACAAGTTGCTTTAATCCTCGAACATTGAAGCTGAGGAAACTAAGTTCATTTAAAGCGGCTTACAAACCAGAAGGGGTAAACAGGAAGGGAAAACAGAACTCAAACACAAACACAAACAAAAGCACATGGAATAATCTGACAATTTGACAACCCAAAAGAAATCAGATATGTGAAAAAATGATCTATTCTTTATTGTTGGATGAGTTTCAACTTTCATGTTCACACAGGATATGCTAGAAGGAGAACATGTAAAGATAATGCCTGTCAAACGCCAAAAGCAGCCAGGTCTTGTCACTCAAATGCAATCATGGTGAAAACTATATAAGAAACACAGTTAACCAGACCTCCTGGCATATTGTAATTTAAAAGAGGCACGCAGCGTAATAGAATTAGCAAGCTAGATGTTATAATCTCAACAAAAAGATGACCGAAAAACATATCTAATTTTCTCAGCTATAAAGTTTGGTTACTTTTTCATAGGTGTTAGCTTCAAACTACTTGTCGAGTGATAAAACTGATAGTCAGAAGCATCAAATGGAAAAATAAAGTTAGTTTTGAACTGTAAAGATATTCTTTTTTTAACAGACTCTACAAAGCAGTAAAGAGTTGGACACAAACAAAGGTTAGGTCGAAGTTAGTATCCGTACTTCTGATTGAAATGGTGATGGCCGTCTGTTGTTAGCTCCTCCATTTGAATATATTCCTGCTGAAGCCAGGGGGCTAGCTTGTTCAAGCCCGTTATGTTCTAATAGTGATGCATTCTCCAACAGCTTAGTTACACGCAATATTTCTGCTTCAAACAGGTGATTTTTCAAGAACATATGTAACCAGTTAGCACTAGTTAAGAAATCAGTCCAATGGTGTAGTAAAAAATCAATATGTCAGATCAGAAGACCTTCACCAAAATATTCAAAGTATTGTCAGTTAATTGTAGCCACAGGGTATGATCATGTCCATAAAGAAATCTAAAGCTGAGAAATATACACATTCATATGCCAAAATGATTAGAACAACTAGGTCAGAGTTAAGGGCCATGAGTAACACACCTAATAAGGCTACTTTTCTGAATTGTATACTAGTAACTATGGAAGAGCTTTTGAGCTTCTGACAAGGGTTTTACAAGCCAGGCACATAAAAGAAAATCACCAACAGGAAATAGAAGGAACAAAGTGATTCTCTAAGTAACAATTGTAAACAACAGTACACTACACAACAAAATCTTCGACTCCTCTTATCGTTCTTGTGGATGGCACTAACACTCATGCAATCAGATTATATTGAAAAAAAAAATGTGTAATTCACTAATCTACTATTGCATAACTCAGTCATACACTTGTTTTCAGACAGGTACCGAGATACTTACGGATTATTGAATTATCAAAAACTCACCTTGGTTCAGCAAACGATAACTATTTGGGAGCACAGCCACAAAAGGAATGATTTTGTGGCGTTCAGACAGCAACTCGGACAGGTACCTGCCCCAGCAAAACACCATTTTCAGCTCTTAAATAGCAAAACTTAGCTTCATAGCAGAATTCATCTATAAATAAGTTTCCATAGCTATCAGAAAGGAATCAAGAATGCAGCTTGAAGCATAAAAACACTACTACAGTAACGGACATAGATAAAGAAGCTATCGGGCTCCACAAGAACTCCCCCTACAATACCCTTAAACCGACGTAATTAAACCTGAACAAAGAAACAAGAGATTACTTTTCTTGCTCCATGAGCACAGAGACGGCAGCACGCATAACCCCGCCGCCGCCGCCAGCGGCGCCGATGTGCGGAGAGTGAGGGGCGGAGGGGGACGGCGAGTAGGCCATGTACCTGCCGGACGACATTGCTTCCGGCGGCGATCGATGATCACCGCCGACAGAGTCCTCGTTAGACTGAGCAGAAAAAAAAGGATGAAACTTGCGAAATGATTGGGAACGACGCCCAATCTCGATCGCCGAAAGAGACGAGGAGGGTTGAGAGATGGTGAATGGTGGAAGTAGGGTTTGAGTATTTATTGGGGTGAGAAGAGAGAGAGAAGGAGACGACAATTATCGCGAGTGAATGTTGTGGGTTTTGAGCCTCGCTGGCCATTGTTACTGCGCAGAGGTGAATTTTTCGGGGGTTTTGTCGGTGAAAGTTTTCCATT